TATTATCTCCTTTAAAATAGCACTATCAATTATTGTGTGATTATTTTTTTAATTTAATATAATTAAAAAAAAATTATCAAATAAGAAAAATAACTATAGCAGAAAATATCATAAATTAAAAGGAGTATAAAAAAATTACTCCCAAAATAATGGTGTAGAAAATAGGGTCGAATTTTGTTTCATAAAATTGAGTGAATTTATTAGGATGGGGTGAAGATAGATTCGCTTTGGATTTTGCATAATCTTTTCCAGTTTGTCGTTAGCTTCTTGGCTTGTGTACGGTTCTAGCTAACTTTTGACACCCTTTTTGCCTTAATTAGTCTTTATGATTTTAATCTATTATTTTTTTTAATTGGGTTATTTTAGTTTTTATTTTTATAATTGAATAAACTTTAAAGTATGTTGAAAAATGTTGCTCTCCATGATGGAACGTGAGAAGACCCATCGCTGACTCAATGCTTGTACTGACTAGCCCCTATTATGGACTGAGACAACACAACCAAACCCTGAGTCTTCATCACTGCTTTCAATTTTTATGGGACCAAACTCAATGGGTTCAGTCCCAAACTTAGTCAAAGTTGTAGTGAAATTCGTAAGGGAAAACAAGCACAACTCCAAATTTTATTTATTTTTTAACATAAAATATTCATTAAATACTAAATAAAAATTATTTTAAAATATAAAAAACAAATTATAAACAAACTAATAAATCAAACTCAAGCTTTAAATTTAAATAAATAAGTTAAACTAATTTTTTTAAAAGTCAAATTTAAACTTCATATACTCCCATAAACTCAATTGATTTAATTTACACCCAACATCAGACATTTTAATTATGTTAATAATTTCATAAACACGTAAAATGTTTGAAATGAAATTAGTAATTTCGTGAGTAACATGTATATTAAAATTTTAATGAAAGTGATATATGTAACATTGATGACGTACATTGATGACGTAGGCTGGATTGGTAAGGGCTGGAGATCCCTTGTAATTTCTGCGACATTAAATGAACAGCACGCAACGTGCAAAGTTGCTGATTATACCCATTTTGTTTTTTCCTTCACTCATAAATCCCTTCCCCTCTGCTCACCCCGATATCAACGTGCTTTTTTTTTTTTTTTTACTTTTTTTGTCGGTTAAAAAATAACCCTTATGATTTACGAGATTTGGATGGTCTCCCATCGTTGAGTTTTATTTTTATTTAAATAAAATATATTTGTTTAAATAAAAATAAAAAAAATGTATCTTTAAATTAAATTTGTTTAAATAAATTTAGTTTAATTAAATAAATTTTATGTATTTCTTAGAAAGAAAAAAAAGTTAAAGATAAATGAAAATAAAAAGAGAGATACATAGAAGAAAATGATTGAATATAAAAATTAAAAAAAAGGTATTAAGTGTGAAAGAGAAAGCGTAAAGGTTGAGAGATGAGATATTAAATTTGCTTGTTTTTTCTAAATTTTGTTTTTCTCGTTCTTGCTTAAATCAAAATGAGACTAAATGTTTAATTTTGTTATAATTAGAGAAGATTTGTATTTTGATTTATAGTAGTATTATTAAAGTAATAAATAAATATTATATATATATATATAAACTCAAAATTTATTGATATAAAATATTAAATTTGAAATGATTTTTTTTGTAAAACATAAGATAAATAAATTAAAATATTCATTTAAACATATTATTAAGTAGATCATCTTTATAAAAAAATTTAATAAAATACTTCCTTGCATTTCTATTTTAACTGATAAATATTTTTAAAATATAAAGTAATACTAAATTTCAGATAATATATTTATAAATTTTTAAATTATATAAAATTTGATATACATATCATAAAAATAATATATAATAATTTAATAATTAAATTGATTCATCTTTTATTTTATTTAAAATTATTAATTGATTTAAATGTTTAATTTAATATTTAATATAACGCATTTTAAAAACTCTTACAGTCAATTTGAGTTTTTCATTTAATTTAACTGTTAGATTTAAATTAAATGAAAGACTTAAATTGAGTATAAGAAATTTTAGACTTATATTGATGTAAAAAAATTCTTTCTCTATTTTTATTATTTGTTATATATATGAATAAAATATAATAACTATGTATTTATTTCTCATAAAAAAAAGTATAATTTATAATTTTCTTTATTTTTCAATGCGTTTTTAGAAACATATTAGAAAAACAGTAAAATTTTATTAAAACATTTGTGTTTGGTTAACCATATTTAGAAGTGTATTAATTTTCTGTTATATGGATTAAGGGTTTTTGTTGCCTGTTACTGATATATATGTACTTTTATATAAACCTATAAATACATAATCTATCTTTGTCTTTTTTAATCACTTTCCCTTTCTCTGTTCACGATGTTGTAACAATCTCCCGCAACATATATTATTAAATTAGGTTACGTGCACCCTTTAAGGAGAAAATGTATAAACAATTTCTTAAAAAAGGTTAATTTTAGGAGGTGAGGAGAGGAGAGAGAAAATTTTGTCTAATGATAATTTTTGTCAGAGTTTTAAATATGAAAAAAATTATGAACTTTTAAAATTTTTATAAATTTATAGTTTTAAGCTTTTTGATATTGAAAAGTTATTTTAATTTTTCCTTTCTTATTCTTATATTTTTTATCTCTCAAATTATTTCAATTTTTTTATTTTTTTAAACTCACAAATAAAGCTTTTAAAAAAATAAGATGTAATGAATAAATTATAAAAATAGCATAAAAAATTTTTGTTAAGTGTTGTCATACGGCAAAATCTAAGTGTACATTTGAATTTAGTTAAGGTTTATGGAACAACATATTTTAATTTAAAAAAATATTTTTCGGACTAAAATTTTAAAGACGAAATATTTTAAACACATTTCAAATATTACTAGTTTAATTTTTACGTTATGGCCTAAATTCAATTTAATACTAATTTTTCGTACATCAATTTTTATTACACTCATTTTATATCTCTTATATCTTTGTTTAATTATTACATCCCTCATTATGATTATATTTTTATTTTTATTTAAATATATTTTTAGTCCCTTTAGTTAAATTTATGTATAATTTTGATTCTCCTAATTTTTTTGAGTTAATCAAATCCTTCCATTTTAAAATTAGTAAACAAATCATTTTAAATGTTCAAAAATTAAAAGAAGAAAAAAAGCTAGTGCATTTTGATAAGCCTTAAAAAAAAAATTTAAAATGTGATATTACAATTTAAAAGAGATAATTATTGTTTATATTTGATTAAAACATGGATGCAATACGAGTCGTTCCATCCCGACTCGCCCTCTACTCGTTTAAATGTAGGTTGGCCTGTAAGGCCATTTAAAAAATAAAAATAAAATTATAAAAATATTAAAACTAAAATTTATTGGATTAAACGGATTGACCCAACGGGTCAACTTGAATTCACATTCTAGATTAAAATTTAATATTTATAACTTTACTTAATGTTTGAAAAAAATATATAAATTTTCTAAAAAATATAATTTTATAAGATTTTGGTAATTAACAAATTACTTCAAACACTTAAAATAATATAACTTAGTTTTTAAAAGTTATAAAATGCTAAAGATACTTTAATCATAAATTGTTGTATACTTTAATTTTTACATTTATTTTATCTCTTTATTTTTATTAGATCACTTGTTATATTTATAATATTTTATTTTTTATTTGTCTTTCTTTGACACAATGTAAACACTCATTTACTAAAAAAAATTACTGTTTCATAATAAAAACTAATGTAAAATTTCTAAATTTATAAAATTAATTCAAAATAGTACATTTAACATAAATTTGAGACAATAAACACGAATTATTATTTACATTCTCAAGTTTCTATTAAAATTTTTTGCTATACAATTAGCAAATATAAAATTTTACTTTTATTCTCAAATTTCGGTTAACATGATTGGTTACGTCATTGACAAACATAAACTCACGTTAATAATTTTATCATATTTTATTTTATATTTTCTTATTTATTAACCCATTAAAACACAATATTGACAAACATTATAGTTTTCATTTACAAATTCAATAAAAATTAAATTTTTAGTAAATATTGATGAACACTAAAAAATAATAATAAAAATATTGATGCTATTGACAAATATTAACAAGAAAGATACTTTTTATATAAATTATTTATAATTTATGTAAAAAGTGATATTTTTTTATGTCAATAATTACAATCAATATAAAAAGTCTTAACTTTTAAAATTATCTATATTTATATTGATTTTTTAATTAATGTTAAAATTTGTTTTTAATAGATATAAAAAAATATTTTTTTACTAATAAAATGACAATAATTTAGTTTGTCTAATTTAATGAACTAAACGAGCTTAACAGGTTATTCTTAATCTAAAATTTGATATTCATAAGTTTACTTAAAATTTGGAGAATAAAAAAAAACTTTTTAAGAAAACAATTTTGTAAAATTTTAGTAATTAACAAATTACTTCAAACACTTAAATTAATATTATTTTTTTTAAGTTATTAAATGCTAAAGTCAATTTAATCGTAATTTTTTATATACTTCAACTTTTACATTTATTTTATCTCTTTGTTTTTTTTTATATCACTTGTTATATTTATAATTATGTATGTTTTATTTGTCTTTCTTTCACAATGTAAACACTCATTTAATAAAAAAACAGCACTGTTTTTAAAATTCAATTTGCTTTTGATTAGAATCAATTAGGTGAAATTCTTGGGGTGGTGTAATGCGCGTGAAGTGTGAACTGTCAATCTCTATACATTAGGTGATGACTTCTTTTTCTATATAATTTCCAAGTCTTTCTCCTCATTACGTGGGAAATTCCAAGAACCTTCAAGAGTTTATTTAGTTCATTCATCTCGTATCCAACTTTTCACACACTTTAACACATACACATACACACGCACCAAAACCCCTCCACTCTGCCATTATATAAGAGCAAGAACCACACACTGCTCTCCAAAACCTGTGTCCTGAATCTTTCAGTTACACTTTCCAATTCTAAGCCAATAACTATCATTCCCATTAATTAATAAACAAAACCATGGTCCAAGAGAAGAAACTAGTGGACGAGGTGTCCGGTTGGCTAAGAATATACGACGACGGTTCAGTAGACCGAACCTGGACTGGACCGGACCAGTTTAAGTTCATGGCTGAACCGGTCCCTCCCCATGAACAATTCATTAACGGCGTCGCCACCCGTGACGTAACCACCAATTCCGGCCTCCGTATCCGCCTCTATGTGCCGGAGAAAACCCCCGAAGATGGAGACAAACTGCCCATACTCCTCCACTTCCAAGGTGGCGGTTTTTGCATCAGCGAACCGGACTGGTTCATGTACCACGAAACCTACAGCCGGTTTTGCCGGTCCACCCGGTCCATCATCCTTTCTCCATTTCTCCGCCGTGCCCCAGAGCACCGCCTCCCTGCAGCCATGGACGACGGCTTTGATACCCTCCTCTGGGTCCAATCCGTGGCTCAAGCCGGCTCACACGAACCCTGGCTCGAGCAGCACGGAGACTTCAACCGGGTTTTCCTCATAGGGGATAGTTCAGGCGGTAACATAGTGCATGAAGTGGCGGCACGTGCCGGTTCAGTGGACCTGAACCCGGTTAGGCTAGCAGGAGGAATCCCGGTTCATCCCGGTTTTGTCCGATCGAGCCGAAGCCGGTCCGAAATGGAAATGCCTCAGTCACCGTTTTTAACGTTGGATATGTTGGACAAGTTTTTGTCCTTGGCACTCCCGGTGGGGTGCACGAAGGACCACCCCTTCACGTGCCCTATGGGCGAGGCGGCGCCGCCACTTGAGGGGATGAAACTGCCTCCAATTTTGCTGTGTGTGGCGGAGATGGACCTTGTGAGGGACACGGAGATGGAGTACTATGAGGCCATGAAGAAGGCCAACAAGGACGTGGAACTGTTTATCAGCAAAGGAATGACGCATAGCTTTTATCTGAACAAGGTGGCTGTGGATTTGGACCCTAACGTTGGTGCACAAATGGAGGCTTTCATTCGTAGGGTCAAAGAGTTCATTGACAAACACTGAATTGAATGTTCCACACTTCTACTGTATTCACCTGTTACTTCAATTTGTTGCAATCAATAAAATCTCCCCGTTAATTAACACCTTCGAGCATTGATGAAAGAATCGATAAATAATATTTCTTACTAAAATTATAGTATGTATATTACTATGTTAAATTTCATGACATGTTATGATTTTTGAAAAAATTTTGAATATACAATTTTTATTGTGTGACCTTACAAGCCCATTAAAAAATTATTAATTTTAGTTCTTAAACATTGAAAAGTAATAAATTTTTATAAAAAATAGAAAAATTTATCATACACTTATAATTTTAATACAATAAAATAGATTTTTAAATAAAATCTTAATATATTTTATTTAAACTCAATTTTAATGGCTAAAGTTAATAAAATTTCCTTTCTATTAAATTTTTTTTTTATTATCTAAAATACTTAAGAATAAAGATAACGACATTATTAAAAATTTAATATTTAATATTAATTTTATCTTTTAAAGTAAATAGATATTTATATATATATATATATATATATATATATAATATACTATAAGGAGTATTATTTCTATAACACATTTTTAAATATTTTATAATATTATTTATCATATTTTTTCATTAAATTAGCTGTTTTATTCTATATTTTTTTTCTTATTTTTTATTGTAGAAGTGCAAATACAATTTCGCTTTGTAGTCTGCATGTTTTTTTTCTTTCTCATTTTTCATTTTAAGAGTATATATAGTGATCAATTGATTATGACAATTGAAATGGGTTTCACGTTCTGTCATTTTTATGGACAAAACACCAACATATAGCCCCACCAGGTTCCTTCCCTAAAATTGGAAATGAATGGGATCGAAGGAACGAATGTTTCGTTGAGATAAAGTTCACGTAAAATGTTTTCGATATTTTTTGGCTGTTTTTAAAATAAAATAATATTTTCTATATCCTACAATAATATTATATGTTTATAAATATAAATTTTGATTGATAAATAATATTAATATATAAAAAATGCATTTAATTTTTTGTCTTTTCCATTATTATGCACAACTATTGCTTTTAACGTTATTTTAACTCATAAGCATAAACAGTGTATTTGTAATTGTAAGAAAAATGATTGATGCCTTAGAGCCATAGGTATATAACAATTGAAAGTTATTAAGTATAATATTATATTTCTATGCATAGAGAATATAAATTTATTTTTTAAATAAAATAATAACAAAAGTATATTTTATAAAAAGTGGTGAAAGGAAAAAGAGGAATTAGATTCGTTAATCTTTTAGGTCATTTCTGAAAAAGAAGAGATTCCTTAATTAATCCTAATTGTAACTTTAAAAAGTTTTTAAACATGTGAATATAATCTCTTCTACAGACAGAGAATATTTCATATTTAACAGTTTTAAAAAAATCAACACCAGTAAACAAATAATTTCACTGTATCATTGTTCCCACCTTTTATATTAATCAAATCAACTTATGTATTTATACTTCCTGCTGGAAGGCATAATGCACAAACTGAATTAAAATAGGTAGCTTGATTAAATTTATGAGAAGCTATTATGGCAAACATTAAGATCAAGTAACATAACTCTTAGATTGAGACAGAATTATAGTGTATATTCAACTTTATATATAAATTTCTTAAAATATGTTGTTTAAGAAACATATTATGATGTGTTCACTTCATAAAATAAATAGTAAATTACATCACCCTAGGGAAAAAAATAATAACACTAATCAACACAAGATCAATATTTAATTACTTGAAATAAATGTTTCCACTGTAGACAACACGTACAAAGTGTCGTTTAGGTCAACCAGTCTAGGCGAGAGCATTTAGAATAACAGTTAATGAAATTATGCAATTAATTTAATATATCAGTTACCTTGAAAATCAATCTGTATTAATCTAATAATTAAAATTTATGTCATAACAATAATACTTTTTTTCATTCAATCTACAATTACGATATGGCAATAATACAATTTTTTTTTATGCTATAGTATCTTCCATTGGAGAGAATTATATTCGAGCCGATCGAATAAAATCGTATATCAAAAACTTAACAATTAGACAATTATATAATATATAACAAATCTGATAAAAATATCAATAAAATATATGATTTGATACATAGTTATTTTATTTTGTTGCGTATAAATATAATTCAAGTGACAACTCTTCTCTGTTATTTAAGCATGTACCTGTGCACTGATATATATATCTACGTATTATACAATAATAATTAAAATAATTATAATTTATCAATATAAATAGTCAATGATACGGGCAAATAAATAATAAGTTGGGAATATTAAAGCATAGTACAAACTTACCTATGGGTGAAGTCTATTTTATAAATAACATATGCACAAATTGTAACACCTGTGTATAGAAAGAATTTTATTGCCTATGCACTCTTAAAATATCATGCTTCAAAAAGTTAAGTTATATTAATCTATATTTTATGGATAAATTACATTATAATTTTTTTTAGTAAAAAACATGATCATCCAAATAAAAACAGCATGCACTATTAGAAATATACGTGAATGAACTATTAAAGTGTTATACACTCACTTGAATAAATAGAATCACAAAAGTGAATGAAATTTGCATGTTTCCTTTTTAAATGTCAAAAAACAAGTTTCATTTAAATATAAGTTATGGCATTCAAGCATGTATTTTCATGTTCATCCTAAAACATGCAACTAATAATGAAGTTTTGGAGAGAAGGAAAGAGCAAGAAAATTATAATAATATGAATTCTATATATTTTTAACACAAAACAAAACAACGTACAAGGATTTTATATGCTTGGAGATATTTATGATAGTCTATACAGATGAGTTACAACATACCATTTCCCATCTAAATAGCTACAAAGGGTTAATACAAAAAACCTATAATGAAAAACCTACAGCTAACTATAGAGGTCTCATACTTATTTTTCACGTGTGCATGTAAGAACTAAAGCAATGATATCAATGTATGAAATTTAGGAATCATATTTCATAATTTATTAAGAATTATTATATGAATATGATTGTAGTTTTAATGATTAGAATACCCATTATATTAAAAGATAAAGAAAAGATAGTACAACCTCTTGAAGACATGAATATCACTTTACTTCAGTACTTTGATCTCGCTACTAGTCTATCTAATAATATTCTATAAATGCACAAATATATGTAAGAGTATAAGATCTTTTTCTCAACAATTGATAAAAATCATGCAATTATCTAAAAGTTATGATCATCCTAAGACACATTTATAAAATATAAGGAAAGGAGAGATTCCATTTATGAAAATGCAATAATTTATTTCGTTACCAATTTATGAAGATCGAATTTAATAATTTTATCTAACGTAAATCTAATATAATTATAGACAATTATTCAAACAAACTTTATAGATAATATCTAATATTTATTAATCACAAAATAAATACTAAAATATATTAAGATACCGTTTAATTTCTAATTTTATTGTAATTAAAGTTCAATTATAAAAAAAAAAAAGATTTTCTAACACAATAAATTTTAACAGTCAAGTGTACCATAATAATTATTGGTGGGAATAATTGCTTGTAATAATGCATTATTGGATGATTGTTTGTGGGGTCGGACATGTAAGAATGGTAAATGCTTAACTAACCTGAAGGTGTCGCCATGCAGAAGTTGGGTCACCCCAAGAGACAAGTCATATCAAGTGAGTTGTGTTTTATGATTCACCACACAAAATTTGATACACTATCAAATTATACATTTATTTATTTGTTTACAGAAAAATTTAAATGATATTTCGATTGAAGATAGAAAAAATTATAAGAGTCAAATAGTCAAATAGTTTTCACTCACCCAAATAATAACCTGGTTGCATTGTCCTTTCAAACCTCCACTCATTGAAAATAATCATTTTTCTTTACTTTGTTATTGTTTTTGTTACAGGAAAACAGGGTGTAATATATTTTATTTGTTATAATAATTGAGATAAATGAGTTTTTAATTCTTATATCAGATTTTTTAATTTTGTTATTACAAATAAAAAATTTTATATAATTTTTTATACAAAAATTTATTTTTAATTTTGTTCCTACTATTATGATCGTTATAATGATGTTAGTTTTTTTTATTTAAAAAATAATTATATTTAATGTAAAATGTTTAAATTATTTTTTAGTGTTTGTACTATATTTTTTTTTATAATTTATTTTTTATAGGTAAAAATTTTTGTAATTAATCTATATGCTAAAAGTTATTTTCAATTTCATTTTTATTGTTACGATAACGGTTTTAATTTTATTTTAATTTTATTTTTAGAAGAGTATTCTAGCTTTTTTAAATATGCTTTATTATATTTCATACTTTTTTACATTTAGTCTCATGTCGTGATTTATTTTTATATAAACATTATTTCTAACATTTTTATTTTCAATATCATTATTTGTTTGCTTCATCATATTTTCATTATAATCTTCATCCCTTCTTCTATCATTCTTATTTTGCTATCTCAAATATTAGTCATGTCCTTAATCAAGAACTTTCTTCTTTTATATTTTTAATACATTTATAAAAAAATTAGAATTACTCTTTAAATCATTATTATCATTATCATAAAAATGTTGGATCGATAATGCTCATTTAAAGACAAATTAAGATAAGAACTTTTTTCTGGAGCATTTACTTATATAATAAAGTTGGATGTCATGAATTATAAATATATGAAGTAAAATATGAAACTTTTTTGAAAAATTCAATAAACTTCTCTAAAGATGATAGAAAAGTGTCACAGTAATAATATAAATAATAAATTAATAATATACAATTATTTTCTACATACAATGACTAAATTACAAAAGAGTCTTATATAGAAATTAAAAAATAATTTAAATCATATTAGATAACCATTTATCAACTAAGAGAGAAAGTTAATATTATCATAACATAATGTCACGTAAGGTAGAATTGAAAATAAATTTTTGTATATAAACTTCTTATATACAAATTTTTTTTAT